AGGTTCAGGAGCAGCCCTTCCACGGAACTCCTTTTCCCCGGGAAGGAAGGGGAGCCAGTAAGGGGGAGGGTACAGACCCTTACTGGGAAGGCTCCAAGCCATGGAGGGAATCTGTAGGTGGGGCCTGGGCCCCGAGTCCCATAGAATGTCAGAAGCTTTGGGGGCCCCTCTGTTTCTGCTGTTGCATCCACATAATGGATGTTCTGCTAGATCACACCTGGCATGTATTTGCTTCCAAAAAGAACTTGTCATCTGAACATTGTTCTCCTTCCTTCCACATGGGGGGCCTGGGCACAGGTGTGTGCACATGTGCCTGCATGAGTGCCTGTGCGTCCCCGTGTGTGTCTGAGTAAAGGAATAGAAAAGCTGCCGAATGGAGCAATGACTCAAAACTCATACTCAGCACGGCTTTGGTTTGCCTACCAGCACTTCATAGTTATGAATAAAATTTCAATGCATCTTATTTATGTGCTAATGAATTTCATTATAAATACAATTAATGCACTCATTCTCCTGAGATACAACACTTCATGAATCTAATGAACGAAGGTGAGAGAGAGTCGCATACTGTCATTATCTATAACTAAATTCACATTTCAGAAGACGTATGCAGACTCTCAAAATTGGCCCTTCTAACTCAAAGCTGCATAATTTTTATAGCTTCAGTAGCTGCGTTGAAGTCAAAAGAGGTGGGACATGTATACCACTGCACAGAACACTTCTAAGATTAATTTCAAAAGGATCAAATGAAAACATGCTGAGAAATGCCTGCAATTGTCACAGTCCCTCTGTGCTGACTCATGATAGTCACTTCCATAGTAACAGGCTTCATCCTCTTGTGACTAGATTCTTGCTCATTCATTGGTTGGAGGGATCCTCAGAACCCCAGGCGCAGGTGAGCCGTGGGGAACCGGAGCATCTTATGTAAAGAGTTATTCACGAAAAACTCCAAGCCCCAAGTGCTACATCAAATAAACATGGGCCTCTGAGCTACCCACGGAGACCAAGGCCTTTTTATATGGTGTACATCCATATGGCTGTATTTTGTTTTTTTTTAGTAAGACTATTTTTAATAGCAGTGTTAGGTCCACAGCAATGTTAATCATGAGGTAGAGGTAGCCTCTACACACACACACACACACACACACACACACACAGCCTCCCCCATCATCAACATCCCCCACCAGAGTGGTCATTTGTGAATTCATGAATGTACAAGGACACATCATTATCACCCTAAGTCCAGAGTGTACAATGGGGATCACTGTTGGTGTTGTGCATTCTATGGGCTTGGACAAATGCATAGTAACAGGTATCCACCACTATAGTGTCATATGGAGTAGTTTCACTGCCCTAAAAATCTTGTTTTTATGTACTGATTTCATTGAAATATAAACTATAAGCTTTTTGTCATATCATTAAATATTTTGGGGGAAAAAAAGGATTTAAATGACTATATTAGTTGGAGGACAAACGAGGCTGCTCTAGCAAAGCCTCCAAAGTGCTGTACCTGCGAAGAGTGGACCGGGTAAGACGCGTTTCTTTCTCACCCAGCAGATGGGGGTGGGTAGGTGCCTGGGGCTGCTCATCCAGGGGCCTGGGTTCCTTCCACCTTGTTCCTCCTTTAGACTTTATTTGCCGAAGATACCAGATTGTCCACAATCTATGTATGAGCCGCGACCTGGAGGTTTTTCTGGAAAGCTGGGGGATAGCCCTGGCCAGTTAGCTAAGGCGGTTAGAGCGTCATCCTGGTACACCAAGGTTGTGGGTTCCATTCCCAGGCACGGTACATACAAGAAGCAACCAGTGAGCACATAAATAAGTGGAACAACAAATCAATGCCTCTCTCTCTCTCCAATTTTAAAAATTAAAAAGAAAATTAAAAAAAAAAAAGAAAACAGCGCAATAGGCCCAGCTCTCTGGTCCATTGGGGAGCTGAATGAGATCGTGCATGGAAGAGCCTTGGATGGTGGGCGGCAGGGTGGGCGCTTCCATTAGAGCATCCTTATTTCGGAAGTCAGGGGAGAGCAGAATTTATCACGGTGATGACAAACTAAGCCCTTAAAAAGCACAGCTCTTGCAATTCCACACATGGCGGTGGGGAGCCCCCAACCATGTCCCAGAGCTGCTGGGCCCCGCGCCCACTGGGAGGAGCCCAGCCCTCATCAGCTGCTGGTTTTCTTCCCTTCCTTTGCTTAATGGTCCCAAATGTGGACCTCAGCCGAACGCCACAAGAATCAGAAAATGCAATTTATAACAAGATAGTCTTTAAGCTATGTGAGCCACACAGGAGGCAAGGCAATTGCATTTCTAATCATTTTCCCGTCTCATTTCACCATGAGAAATTCATTTTGCCAACTATTAGGCTCAAATTTACTCCAGTAGGAAGGTGGCCAGGGAAGGGAGGTGCCCATGATGAAACCAATCACCACCCTACTCCCTGGAAGGGAAGCTCATCCCACAAAATCCCTTTCCCATGGTGCAGAGGAGGGAGGTATTAGCTCCTGATAACAACTGTCACAATGTCACCTTACAGGGTTCCTAAGTGGGAAGACACATCACAGGGCCATTTTTAAATTTTGTGATTACTCTCTTAGAGGCCTATGAGGGGTTCCAGGTGGGCACGGAGGGGCTTTTCTACCCTGGCCTCTGTACTTGTCCCACAGTAGAGACAAGCCTTCCCTGCTGGGTCTCCCTCCTGCTGGCCCCACAGTCTCTCTAAGGTCACCTTCCCATCGTTGGGCATCAAATGGGGCTCTGAGCCACATTCCAAGTCAGCCGGGCTGACTCCCTTGGTCCTGCCCAGGCCACTGCCTGCGCAGGAGGGAGCAGGGCTGCAGCAGGAAGAGACGGAGATCACCCGCCTGGGCTTGAACCCCAGCACCGCTGACCCCCTATGCTGAGAGCTGAGTTACCCCTTCCTCTCCTCCTCCTCCTCGTAAGGTGCCTACTCACCTGGCACCTTCGTGGCGCCAGCCGCTCTTCTAAGTAACTTCACACATGTACTGACTAACGTGGTCCTCACAGCAACTGTAGGAGGGGAGCACTCTGTTGTTGTTATTGCTCTTTGCTCCTCTTGTCCCTCCCAGTCTTTTTTTGAAGACGAGACTTTCCCTTGCTTTCCAGTTAACCCAGCTCAGGACAACAGCAAGTATATCATAGAGACTTTACACGTGGCTGTGGAACAAGCGCGCACACCATCAAGTCCCACGGATCTTACTGCTCTTCTCTCGATATTCATCACCTCATCTCTCCCGCAACAACTGCCTTTTTTCAGGCCTCTTTTATTTCTTGCTCTGACTTGCAACTGCCTTTGAATTCGTCGCCTTTCCACTCTTCATTCTGACCAAGCTGTGTAATAAGTCAGATTTTACCATATGCTTACTCTCTGCATAGCAAGACACTCATGTTCTAAGTGTGCCACATATTTCAACTCATGTAACCTGAGGAGGGGCCAATGAATATTCCTGTTTTACAGGTGAGGAAGTTGAGGCAGAGCAAGGTTAAGTGTGGATACCTTGGCAAAGACGCGGCAAAGCTGTGATTCAAACCCGTGCTGGCTCAGTCTGGAACAGGGCAGGACACTCACGCACGCCCACCCCGCTGTCCATCAGTTACGCAGGGCGGGACTAGGGGGCGAGGAGTGTGGCTGCAGAACTGTACTCGGGAGCTGTGTGAGGCCTGGCCCTGTGCGTGCATGCTTTTCTCTCCCCACCTGAGTCCCAGCCCGCCGTCACGCATCTTCCCAGCTCCCCGTGGACCTGAAGTCACATCCAAGGGCACTGGCCTGCTGTTTGGGGCCTTCCACGTGCTGTTTACAACCCACCTCTCCACCTTTCTCTTACTTTTTGTTTCCATGTCTTTTCTGGTTGTCTGGCATGTCTTTCCCCACCCGTTAATGGGTGTAAAGCCTTTCATAAAAAAAAAAAAAAAAAGAACTCTATTGGAAGCCCTCCTTGGGGACAACTACGGTTCCTGGCACTGATTGCCTCATGTCCACCTGCACTCACGCCCTGGGGGCTTCATCACTCTGGGGACTTGACACATCCCTCTCTGGGCTTACATGACATTTGCCTCTCCATCCTAAACTTGTGCAACTCGACTTGTATGTCCACCCGCCTACTCACCATCTCTACTCTACTCTACTCTACTCGGCACCTCAAATGCGGGACTCAACCCTCAAGCTTAAAAGTCCCTTCCAACCCGCCCCGCCCCCCTCGGTCTCCCATCTCTGTGAAGGAACACCTTCCGCCTCAATCCTGCCAGTCGTCAAAGCCCAAAAGGCTGCAGTCCTTGACTTCTCCCTCCCACCCCACATGCAATTCAATGCTAAGTGCTACCGGTTCTACCTTCAACTTACATCAGAATGGGACTTACCTATCACATCTACCGCTACCAACTTGACCCAGGACCCCATGTTCTCTCCCCTGGAGTGCTGCAGTCGCCTCTATTCTGCCTCCGTGGACGGATGATGCCCGCCCACACTGGGGAGGGCAAACTGCCTTCGGGGGCGCACTGATTCAAGGGCTCATTCCACTCAGGCACGCCCTCACAGACACACTGCAAGTAACCTTCAGCCAAACAGCTGGGCGTCCCATGATGCCGTCAAGGTGACACATGAATGATCCGCCAGTGTTTATTCATATTGTATCCATTGTGCCTTGGATGTAAGCATTCCATCATTTCCTTTCTTGCCTCTTCACTCGGTAAGAGATAGGCAGCCGTGGACTTACAAAGTGCTAGGCCTCAGAGTGACCTGGAGTGGGGTGGGGCAGTTCTGCCACCGTGAAGACCACGACTGACAGGTCAAAGAGGACGAGCTGAAAATTGGAACGTGAAAGGCCAGCACCACTAAAACGTGAACGTCAGCTTGCCAGCCAGGCCCGGGAGCCCGGCATCACCACCGCTCACTCAGCAGCCGGTTCTCATGACTGTCGACATGAAAGCTCGTGCGGAGGACCCAAAGACCCCATTCAGTAAGGAGGCACACAGGATGGGTATCAATACCTTTTAATGGTTCACATTGTTTTTTTTTAAAAGAATAACAACAACAAAAAAAAAGCATGGAACTTCATGTTTCAATACATTGGGCAATTACAGAATCTGAGCCAGGCAAGTCCATTAAGTATGATCCTTCTTGTGGGGGCAGAACCTTCCATTCTGCTAAGTAGAGAGAGAACCACATGATTCAGCACAACAGCCTCACACTGCCTCTGTTCTAATTTCAGGGACTGGCAGACTTGGAGACAAAACAAATTTTAAAAAATAAATAAAACTCCACACAGCCAACTGCCTTGATTCCCCTCGCCCTTTCTCCTTTTCTCATATTTGTCGTATACGCAGGTGGGACAAGGGCGTGAGGCAGAGTCCTGTGGGACAGGGTTAGGTGCTCTGCCAACGGAACGCGCAGCAGGAGCATGAGTTCCCTGAGGTGACCAAGAAATGTACTTTGAATCGACTACTTGGCGTTGTAGCTGAGAAACATGAGAAGGGGAGGTAATGGAAAAGGAGCTCTAGTGACCGCTGGTGGGAGGCCTGATGTCCACAACATGTGTTTGGAATCCAACTTACAGTGAGAAGATGGCCTGAATATGATCCTTAGCGCATTCACACAAGAATCTAGAACTGTGGAGTCAATGCCTCTCCATACTAATACAAGGTGGAATGCAAGCGAAGCATAATAAACACTTCTGCCAAAATCCCACCAGGTATAGTCATTCATTCAACAGAAGATATCAAAACCATTTGGTTTTAAACAAAAATCCTTCACATCCACCTGTGTTAAAAAATATAACTTATAACATTAACAACTTCCTTAAAAGAGTAATTACCACAAAACAGTTAAATTGTTAAGTGTAGAAAGAATTATTTTCCTATAAATGTAGTTCTTAGGAAGGGACAGATACATAATATACATGAAAAATAAAGCTGTGATATTTTGTATTTTTAGCTTAAAGCTGAAGTTACCCAAAAAAAGCTTTAAACAAGTGTTAAAGTGTTTCAGCTCACTAAACCAGCACGCAATAAACCAAATGAAGACTTCTGCTGTTTTTCACATTTAAGGTGTATGTCTGCCTCCGTCATGAATAACGATGGAAGTCATACCAGACTACTAAGTTCCATGCAGGGGAATGTCGCCCCCAGTAGGCTGGTCAAGCAGCCTTTTCCTTTTTCTTAACTAGAACTGATAGTGATGCAGCACACGGGGGCTAATCTCACCAATCATATGTTTACTTGCTAGAACACATGACTTATTAGGGGAGACAAGGCTAAACAGGTCAGTTGAGTAGAACAGAACATTTGAGTCCCATGGTAGTTCTCGTTCATGGGACAAGCCTATCATTAGCCGCTCAGGGAGTAAATCAGGCCTCCCAAGCAACAAGGCACCTTACGTGCATACTCGGGCTATGACTTGCTTTGGACAAAAATCGAGTGCTAACATTTTTCATCTCTAGTATCATTAACACCTTGGAGAAAACAGAAAACAATAATCAACATTAGAAGCCTGACAAAGAGGACCAGAAAACCTACAAAGGAAGAGTTGTGCTGAAACTGCTTCGCCAGTTGTTCCATCACGGCCCACCGCGCAGGCTTGAGGCCAGTGACTTCATGGACGCACCCTCCGATGCACTGCCGAAGGTCAGTTTCGAGTCCGCCATGGTGACCCCAGTGTGATGCTGCTTGCCTTCCATTCACCGCCTCCTACCCAGGGGATCCAAGGGGGCCTTGGATGATGTAAGCACAGGACACACAGGTGTCGAAGCCCAAGAACCTTCTTGAAAACTTCACCTTGGATTTGGGCGAGGAAACACCAGTGTTATGGAGTCTTGGCAGCAGCATCCACACTGGGGCTTAACCTCAGCAGCCAGCCTGCAGGATATTGCCCCCAGAGCGCTTGGTCACCGACAGAGTTGTGAACACCTGTGGGAGGAGACAGCACAAGATTCTCAGACACCGAGCAAATGAGTGAACAGGGAGTAGTTCAGATCACACCATACATTCCAAGGAGTGAGGTGATTACTTAAAATGAAAGAAACAGAGAAGTGATATCACCAATGATGTCCTCAACTTCTCCAGAGGATAAACGGGGGGAAACATTTTAAAACCAAAGCAAGAAAAAATATTTAGGTTACATCTAATGACAAACTTTCTCTGCACGAGGGTGATTAAAACAAGCTACCCAAGTTGCTTGTCTATTCTCTAAAAAAAGTGCATCATGAAATATTCTGGACCTGTAGAAAGGTATAAAGTGCATTACTACAAACACCCATGTGCCCACCCAGCACAGGGAGCTGTGAATATGGTTAGAGTCCCACGCGTGCCGCTCCCTGCTCACTTCCCCCGCCTTCCCCCTCAATCAGTGCTGACCACGCTCCTACAAATTTCTTCCTGCTTTCCTTGTAGGTTTTTTACAGCTTTACATGAACATGGCAAGATGGTTTATGTCCTCTTCTGCTACCTGCTTTCTTGGCTCAACACTGCATTTCTGTAATTCATCCATATGGACACATAGAGTTATTACTCTTCCATCTTTCATTGAATAGTATTCAGTTACTACAGTATGTTATATGTGCTGTATACTGCAGTATCCAGTCATTCAAGCAGTGAATGTATCACAATTACATATCCAGGCTCCTTTGGCTGGCCGTCCAAGCTATTGCCAATATGCCATTTGTAACATGCTCTGTGACATACATCCAGGAGTCTCCTTGCATCCAGAGCTAGAGGTACAATTGCTGGTTTGGGGGTGTAGGTGCCACTTTGACTTGACTGGATTTCCAAGGTGACTGACCAACGGGCACTCTCATTTGCAGTGACCAACAAGTTCTCCTCATTTCACGTCCTTGCAAACATTTGGTGCTTGTGGGTTTAGAGCCTTAATTAACATCGTTAGGCAGCTTTAACTCGCTACTGCACGAGATGGCCGATACATAAAACAATGGTTCTCAAACTTTAGTGAACAAAGCCTATTCATACTGATTAAAACACAGAAATTATACGACTTTTAATTTGGCAGAATGAGGGCAGGGCCCAGGAATCTTTTCTAGCAAGAGTCCCAAGTGACTGGTTGTTACACAGGTTGTCTATGAGCCACATGTGAGAATTTCTTGTGGCACACCCGCGTCGCCATCCCAACCATCAGCTGCTTACCTTTGTAGTTCTGCCAAATAACAAACATACCAAAAAAAAAAACAAAAAAAACAAAAAAAACAACAAACATATTTCTACCTCTAGAAACAGATGTTTATTCTTGGCCTAATGGAGTAATTGATACCAAACTAGCTGTCTCCACTTAACCAAAAACTAGATAAAATATGTCAAATAATCATTTGAGATACCAAACAACAGGCAGTGGGTTGTGGTCCCCATATGAGGAGAAACAAATAAAGTGAACCTTCGACAGGCCTGGCTGTCTACCTGGAGGCATCTACAAGGCCCTGGTATAGTAGCTCAAGGAGAACACAGATCTCTTGGTGACTTGAAGAGACAAGGGCGGATACTGGGGAGGCTGAGGCAGCTAGAATTTGGGGGGCTGAATTCCCCAGAGAAGGGAGCTAGCCAGAGACAGAGCTCCAGCAATCTGCATGCAGGTCCATCATCTCTGGTTGAATACCAAGCTGCATGGGTCCAGGGGACAGGACCCCACGAAGCCAGGGAAGAAACCACAGCCACAGAGCAGGACGCTGAACAGCCGGCAGTGCCAGCTGGGGCCAGGCGAGGTCCCAGTTCTCATGAGCTGGAGCCCAGAGGCCTCCCTGAGCCCCTGGGGCGACCCCTGGAGATGCCACAAAGCCACAGCCAGGCAGTGGGTTAAGCATTACTAGCCCTGGAGTAACAGCTGCTCTAGTCCACCCTAACAAGCTTAAACAAGCCTCCCGAGGATCAAATGAGCCGCAAGGATGTTCACGGTCCACCCCAAGAAAACTCGGTACTCTTCAAAGGAGGACAACAAAACCCACGTATCTAGCACAGATTCAAAAGGCTGAAAGGAACAACAAAAGAACTGTGAACCCAGAATTCCACAGTCAACAAAAAAATACCTCCATGAAAAAAGCACAATAAACACATTTTCGGACAAGCAAAAGTTGAGCAATTTTGTCACTTTCAGACAAACACTGCCCAAAAATGTTCAAGGAAGTTCTTCCAGCCAAGAGAAATGGTATCAAGGGATGACATCTTTCCCTACAAAGGGGAAACAAAGTCACCGTCACCTGCCTGGTGCTCAGCACCCACTGCTCTTATGAACCCCCCCTTCCTGGATGATTCAGGGTAAGAATGCCCCCCTCCTGCCAGGCTGGGCTTTGGATCCTATCCCCTCACGTTCTGATTTCACACATCACCTGCCCCCCTTTCCTTTTTATTCTTAACCTTGCTTTTTCCATTGGTCTTTCTCAGACTGCATTTATCGCCACACAATCTTCCCTCAGCCTTAGGATCACCTCTATTACCAATGTCTCTTGTCGTCTTTCAGCCAAAATGTTAAGCTGTTTCGTATTTACAGTCTACTTTTATTTCCCGTTTCACTGAACTCTGGCTCCCACCCCCCATTCCGTGGGAACACCACTCCTGCAGTCCGTCAGTAACTCTCACTGCCAAATCCAGAGGACACCTTGCAGTCTTCATTTTACACAGCTTCTCTGCAGCATTTCTTGTCGATCTCACCTACCTCTTAACAATTCTTTCCTCTCCTTGTCGCCTTGACAGGGATCTTTCCTGTTTCCTCCTCCTGTGACTGTTCCTCAGCCATGGCATGAAGGTGTCCTGAAACGCTGGCGCCCCGAGCCCCGGCAGTGGCCAGAACCCCTGGGAGGCGCTGGCTGTAGACCTCAGGCACCCAAACGTGCTGCACAAATCCTGCCGCTGTCCACACGTGCCGGACCCTGCAAGGCCAGAACGCACTGTCCCGGGGCTCTGGCCTCAGCTCGCTCCCCTTCGGATACCCTCCTAACTGGTCTCATTCAGTCAACGACTCCCTTTTAGGCAGATGAGTATGCCATCTGTCCAGCCATGTGTCTCTTCTGAGCTACACACCGGGGAGACCTAACAAGCATCTCTCCTTGGATGACACTTCAAACTTAAAATGCCCGGCACTGAGAAATGCCGTCCCTGCACCCGTCCCTCTCAGTGAACGCCATCACCACTACCTGGATGCCCAGGCCATGCACCTGGAATTGATTATTAATTTTCCCATCTTCATCACTATGATAGGTAACCAATAACTGAGTCATATGTTTCACTTATCTGTTAAATTTGAGCTCTCTTTGTGTTAACACTGGCAGTTCGGGTCTTTATAATTCTGACAACCACTGTGAGATTTTCAGCATTTTCACCTCCTTGTGACAACCTTTCGTGTGGACCACAATTACACATTCCCGCCCTGTTGGGACACTGACCTGGGGGCTGGGCTTGCTCTGGCCAAAGACACGTGTGTGGAAGTGACGCGCATTTCTTCTTAGCGCCAAGTGCGCTTTCCGACCTGCCTTTCCCTCTGCCCTGCAGCCAGCAATGCCCCAGGGGCAGGCTGCTCCATCGGCCGGTCTGGGAGTGCAGGTGCATAGGAGCTGAGCTGCGCCTCACCCAGGATGACCGGAGAGCACCAGCAAGGAATAAACCTTTGCTCTTAGAGGCAAAATAAACTGAAACCAAACGCCACCCAAATGGGCCACGTATACTGCGCAGACAAGAAAACATAAGTTTGTGTCCCAACAAATTAAATTTGGAAACGTGTCTGGTCTCTGAGTACAACTGAAACTTTCATCTAGACTATTCTGGTTGCACTAAGCAAGCTGGGAGGCAACACTGGGAGGATTCCGCGAGCCCGTCAGGCCTCCCCTCTGCAGACCAACCTTCTGAGGCCACGGAGGTCTCACTGAGCCTGGGTGCCATGGCTTATCAGGGAGAGTCTTGCACGGACCCGTGGAGTGTCTGCACCCCCGTGGCACACCTGAGTGCCCGCGTGATTTCTCAGTCAGCTGTCCCTTTGGTTCCTGAGAAACAACCATTTTCCTGGTTTTTATTGTAAAAAGGAAAGTGCACACACACAAAATCAAGGCCACTTTACCTTAAACAGGTCAAAACAAGAGCTATCAGCATGAAAACTACTTCTGAATAAAAGGGGAAAACACTGTTGTGTAAAGGAGGAACAGTACTGAGGAAAACCCTTGGTCTGTTTTAGCCTTAAACCAGTGACAACGCCTTCTCCCTTCCTTATATACCAATGCATCATCAGCACCTCAAAAAATTCAGACCCAGGTAAAAATGGCCAGTATCGAAAAAAACATTTAAAATATGAAGCTGGAAGAAATGATAAACAATTCACATCCAAACAAATAATTATGAGAAAGAGTTCATCCTTGTTAGCAAAGATGTGAGAAAAATTCTTCAAATGTTATCCCTTTTATTCTTAGTGTACAAAATTTTACACTGAATTTTGCAACATTTTCATTAGCACTCTTAAATTCAATGCCGATGACACCATAAGCTAGTACAACCTTTGGAAAAGCAATAAAGTTCCTTTGCTTAAAAAAAAGTGTGACTGCGGAAGAGGGCAGAAAGACAATAATCAATAATGAGAAGAGCCGCATTAGAACGATGATATCATGGGCCACTGAAAATAGCATCAACACGCTCACTTTTGAATTTTTATAATGGAAGAAAAATAAAGAGCCAGAGAATGCAGTCAAACAAATTTCAGGCGTGTGAATTTGCCAGCCTAAGTTTTCTTTCTCAGGAATTAATTTAGAAATAGAACTTGTAGCAGATTTGCATAGAAAAGAAACATATCAAACATGCAAGTAGATTAAAAAAAAAAAGAGCTCATGGATTTTTCTTATACTGATTTATGTTTAAAAGATGGGGGAAGCCAATATCCTGCCAGTGTTGATTAGTGTACATGGAAAAACTGGGTCAATTTTTACAAA